TATGGGCCTGGATCCAAGACTGTATTAGTCATGTTTTCTCAGAGTTCTTATACTGCCCCCTGCTGGGTATTTCTGACACATCTATTATTAGATTTTGCCCATGGAAGTTTGAATACAAGCATAAAAAACCTTAATCTTTTTGACTATTTTTAACTACTAATACTGATTTTACTAATGAGAATAATAACATTTTTGCGAAATGATATAAAACAATTTTGAAACACGTATTTAAAACATCACAATTCAAGAACATTTTGAATAGTTATTTACATTTATGTCACAGTCTCCAGCTTCAGTCACGTTACTAAGCAACATAATACATTTTAGAAAAAATATGTATATGAGAAAAATATGGAGAGAATACAGAAGCATGTGAGTCAGCCCTAAAGTAATTAGGATCTCAAGTTGCCTGATCCACAGAGCAGCTCACGGGATATGACTGTTTAATCATGGCAAGCTCCGAGGCATTTCTCACTTCCTCTGACACACAGGGGAGCTGGCTTGGCCCGGTGGGTGATGCCCTGGCCTGCTCGAAGCTGCCTGAAGCGGAACTTTACTTGGGGGCAATGCTCCGTAACAGCTGTCTTGAGGTTGCCTGAAGCGGGGCTTCACTCGGGGATGACGCTCCAGCCGTCTCAAGGTTGCCTGAAGTGAAGCTTCACTCGGGGTGATGCTCCGGGTGTTTCGAGGTTTCCTGAAGCGGAACTTCAATTGGGGAGGGTTGCTTCAGCTGGCTCAAGGCTGTCTGAAGCGGGGTTTCACTCAGGGATGATGCTCCCGCCGTCTCAAAGTTGCCTGAAGCAGAGTTTCAATCAGGGGTGATGCTCCAGCGGGCTCGAGGTTCCCTGAAGCGCCGCTTCACTAGGGGTCCACAAAGCTGCATTGAACAACAGAAAATGTCAAATTGAAATAAAGATTTTAATGGGGCAAGAAGCCAGGAGCACCAGTGCCTCCTGAAGTCAAGCAGAATGACCGGCATTGTTGACGGCTGATCTTGGAAACAGTCACCACTGTGACCTCGCTCCTGGGAATTTGATCACTCCTCTGCCATGGTGCCCTGTGTCCAGACTTAACAGAGGAAGCAGGGGCAGGTACCATTTTACCTCAAAATCTTTTTAGCCAATACCAGAAGGGGTCGAATAGGTTTTCATTTCAGACAGGGATGAGCTGTATTTTCTTTCTACAGTATTTTGACATCTGACATGATTGAAGGCATCTTCATAATTGACTCAGGAGTAATGAAGGGTCTTTACTGCCATTTTTCTGCACTGACCTCTCTTCCATGAGGCAATACCAAAAATATCCCACTCTGGTTGTGCCTGTACTCTGCCTGTTAGCAAAAGATCCCCTTCAACAAGCAGAAGGCACCGCATGTGTCTTTCACAACATCACGGCCTCACCTATTAAACTGTGTGCTGTGGTGTTTTTCTCAGGTCCTTTATTTTTATTTTTCCAGTCCAGTTAGTAGATAACATCTCCCAGGCACGAAGGAGTCAGGCCACTGTGGCTATTATTTCCTGCTAGTTCTTATCCTACCAGCTGTATCCCCAACCCTCCGACATGGACTCTGTTAGCAACCAGGCAGGAGAACAGCTAGGCCTATGTCACGTCTCTGGTAATGATGATATGCAAAACACACATACTGTATATCCAGAACTGAATATGCAGTTTAATGGGAAGTGTCAGAGACGGGCATCAAGGCTATAAAATGAGGATTGTTAGGAAGCAGGATCATATCTGAATAGTGTGTCAGTATCATCACGTGTTCTTCTCAGTACATGACCTACGATGGACTGACATCCCAGCCAAGGGGCCCCTCACTGCCTGAAACCCCCTGCTTCCTAGGATAAGTCTGAGGCCCCAATAACCCTGCAGTTTATTTTTTGGTTGCAGAAAATGCATGGATCAGGGCATTTACAATTACATCAATTTATCCCTCATTTAGACAATCTAAAATGATTTCTAATTTACTAAATTAGCAATTAATTTCCATATTTTATATTGTATTCAGACACAGCCATAGTCTGGTGAATTGCCTGAGTGCACCCCCACCCAGGGGCATAGTTAGAGATGAATGGATAGGGGGCCTGAGTCTTCACAAGGGGGGGGCAATGGCAGACATATGTAATATAAAAAGCTATTTATGACTTAAGCCAATAGATACAAATTTATCTGGGGGTTAAAAACATTTTAGGGGGTAAAATACCCCTAAAATAGACCTAATGATGTGAAATAGAAACTCAATTCAAACAGGGCAGTCAGTGGCTTTTGCCAATTCTGAAACCAAATTGAAAATTAATACCAGAATTCACAAATGCATGGAGCACACAAAGTGAGAGAGAACTAAAAGAGGGCAAGTAATGTGCTGAATAGCAAAAAACGTTAAAGCAGTAACGCAAGCTAGCTTGCTAATAAGCAATCAGCTAGGGTTACCAGATAATCCACATCAGGGAGGGCACCAACATGGACCTGGTGCTGGTGCTGGTGCTGGCTTGGTGCCTTTTGAGAACCTGCCTGCGTTAATTTCCACCGGTTTAAAAAAGAACGGAACAAGACTGTTACGTAGACAGAAGTGAAAGTAAAGTAAATGTTAATTTGTATTTCGTTTTTTGGATTTATTTTGGATTCTACGTTTTTCTAAGCTGCCGAACGGAAAAAAAATCTGCAGAGTATGACTCGTCGCGCCCTGGTTCTAATGCCTGTATCCACTTTTGTCTCCCCGCCTGTTCGTGTGAGTTAATTCTCGCTAGTTCTTTTTGCCGTTCTTGCACTTTGACTGGTTTGTTTCCTTGATTGAAAGCTGTTTCACATTACCATTAGTGACACATGCATGCATGATTACAGGAGAACACACGTTACTAGCCAGCACACAGCAAGAACTCAGTGCTTAAGTGAAATCCAGGACCTTTTAATTGAAATGGTAGTTTGTAAATCCTGTCCTAGCTCAGAGTGTCTTCCCTGATATGGATTATCAGGTCACCCTACATAATGATTAGCTAATTAATACTGATCCATCTTAACATGCATAATAACCAAGTAGACACAGACGTACCATGTGTTGTGACTGAGTATATGACAGGAAAACAAACCGCTCTGTGTCATTTAGAAGGAAACTGCACGCATATTAGCGTTTTATTGACTTGTCAAAAGTTGCTAAAAGTTACAAAATAAATTGCTGCTAGTTGCTAAACTGCTGTTAGTTGCTTCTGTGAAAACGAAAGTTGCCGTAGCCTGAAAAATTGCTAAATCTAGCCCAAAACTGCGAAATTGACAACACTGGCTCACAGATCGGAGGGGGTGGGAAGGGGGGTGGCCAAGGTATAAGTTGTCCTCCTCTTACTCATGCATGACAGCTGTAGGTGGCCATGCAGTGTGAGTTGCGGGGTCTGAAAGAGAGAAACCGGCACTAAGATCACGCGGAAAGCGCCGAGCAATGGCTTGCGCTGTTTGAGCCCACGCGGACAGCAGCGTCCAAAACGTAGTCAGGCTGCAGGAGGCGCCGAAGCTGTGAGTTTATTGGGAAGGGAGTAATTGACCTGTGGTAATACGTGTTTGCGGTGCTAGTGACTTTTTTTCTATTTTTCTACAAGGTACTTTTAATTTGAGGGGGAAGCATTTTCTGACCGGTAAGATAAGAGCAATTTTGAAAGTTTACGGAATTTAAAGGCCTACTGAATACAAACGAACCCACAGTGCGCGCACCGTGGCCCCTGTGCTGTTTCCAGTGACACCCGCAGGTTGCCATGGCCACGGGTCGCGGACGCGCTTTGGCCAGTTTCATGCAGGGCGTCGAGAAGCTGAGGAAAGCCGGGTCCGGGTCTGAGTCCAGACAGGACCCCACCGAAAAGCTGCAGCAAGCCCAGTCCGGCTCCGAGTCCGACAGGACCAGGTACCGCTGGCACCGTAGGCGAGGTTCTGCTGAGCGCCCCCTCCCTCCAGAGCAGGGCCGTACTGTAGCTACGTGGTCACCGAGGTCCGGACCTCAGTAATTTTTTTTATGAGTATAAAACATTAACATAACTAACGTTTCGCGTAACTCATTAATTACAAAAATATATACTGTCCCCTTCAAAAGATGTTTAAATAATGTTTTGATGAGACCCACCCCCGGATCCTGGACCTCACTATTTTTCATACCCTGGCTACGGCCCCAGAGCAGCAGAAAAGAAATTCTGTCTGTTCATTATTATAACCATTTCAGTAGCACTTGGTATCTGGCTGCAAACCTGCTAATTCGCTTCTGTTTCACATGAAATGTAGTGAAATATTAAAGCTGGTGTAAATAATTATAATGTCACGTAATGCAGCCAGCGGTGTTTCTTTTGACTTTTCTTTTCACTCGCTCTTCTGCGCCCCCTAATTAATTGGCACCCTAGGCGATCGCCTATGTCGTCTATATGGTGGGCCAGCCCTGGCTGCTGGTGTCATGTACCAGCTGAACCAACTGTCAGCCCCCAGTCAGGAAAATGACAGTTCAGATTCTCTTTAAAACCTGGCCCCAATCAAATTAACCTTACAATGTGCAGCGAACATCTGTTATAATGTCTGTCTGTGCTATTAATGAATCAGATTGTGACTTTTCTTGCAATTTTTGTGTTTCCTCTGAATTGCACTATGACACTGGATTTGCCCCTGTTCCCCTATGAGACGTGGACATTGCACTGCAAAGCATCAAGGCAAGGCAGCTGCTGCCTGCCAAAGCCAGGTCCAGTGTACCCAAAACTACCTCGACAGGCAGGTGAAACGTGCTGTTTGAGATTTAAAGCAAGTTAAGATTGTGCTCTGCAAGTCAACAAAATCGTTACTCTGTAAGGTTACTGACTCTGCAAGGTATGTGATGTGTACATTAATGATTATGGGCAGAAAATGTCCCTTGTGCCAGATGGCCAAAGGAGCCCTGATTACTGGAACAAGTAAAATATACAGGCTAAACATCTGTGTAAGTATATCCCTGCAGGGATTAATAAAGCATCTGTCTGTCTAAGCTGCCATTCCCAAGCTGTAGATATGGCCTAGTCAGTCTCCATTTCGGTAAGCTGTATGTTATCCTCACCAGGATGCCTCCTGAAGTTCTCCAAAAGGTACTTTTGTACCTCGATGCTGCCTCCCTGCTTTGCATTAGCCATGTGAATAAGACGTTTTACGAGCTGGCCAACAGCAAGTAAGTATTCATTTAATTTTTCCTGATCATTTATTTGCAGTTTTTGCCCACGTTCGTTTATAAACAAACACAGAAGGCTTTGTCTGGACAGCAGTTTAGTTAAGCATTAGTGCTCGCTGCCTGATTTACATTTATTTAGCAGATGCTTTTGACCAAAGTGATGTAGAGGCAACGATCAGAGCCAGCGAGTGTCCAGCAGCATCCCTGCCGCAGGTTGGGTTAAGGGCCCAGGAGTGATATGATTGGTCTGTCGGCTACAGGCAATGAACCCACAACCTGCTGGGAATGGGCACACATGCCTACCCCACTGAACCGCTATTAAAATTGGCTTGTCTGCGCTTTTATATTGGCATATTGGAACTGACCTGTAACCAAGCTGTACCACAAATAGACTAGTTACAGCACAGTTTCAGCTCGCTTTGGTTTTCCACTGCAGAAGGGTTGGCTCTGTAAAGGTGATGCTGGGTTTGGGGAGCAACACTGACATAAAACCAACAGGATGCTTATTTACTGCTCTCACAATGTACATCATGATTTACCGTGTGCTAAATTCTGCTAGTATGTTTGCGAGAATCCCCATGTTATGTTAGCATGAAACCCTAGCAAAATTAGCATCCACTTGTGTAAATTTTCATTACAAATCTATTACATTCAAGTTGTTCTATTCTACTTTTAAAAAAAAGTAGGAGGCTGGAAATTTTCCAGTTCCGAGTTATTGAGAATGCATCAATACACCACAATGTGCAAAACTACTAATAATGAATCATGACACTAACAAACTGCTTGGGTGCTACAGCATCTGCCCAGAAACTGAAGAAGGATGTTATAAATAATTTATAACAGTGTTAATAGATCTTTTAATACAGTCCATCCTTAATTTCCTCGCCATTGTATACTGACAGCCGGGCTGCACAGAAATTAAAAATCAGCAGTGGACTTTTGCCCAGACTGGCCCACTATATACAGCCTCAGGTCCTACATGATACAATTTCCTGACCCACAAACCTGTTGGTATGTCCGATGGCCCATCCAGCTTTGAGTGAGAGCAAGCGTATGATGTGCTCCGCACCCCTCGATTGACACTGGATTTCTTCCTTGCAGCTATATGTGGCACAGGATGTACTTGCGTGAATTTGAAAAGAAGGCATGGAAGCCCAAAAAAGCAGAGGAAGTGACGGAGAGGATGAATTCTGCCTGCATACATGAGAGGGGGCAGGGCTACTGGAGGAATGTGTACTTCAGGAAGATGTCTGGATACAGCGAGGAGCGCTGGAAGCTGCAGCTGAGGAGACTGGACCCTTACACAGGGCTGTCCAGGGACACCGTGCAGGTGCTCAGGTCAGCGGCTCGCCCCTGGTGTATGTCTGTCTTTGTTTTTTGTACAGATCTCATAAGACTCAGGAGGCTTTCTGTTTACCATCATGTAAAGACTGTAGGAACTGTGCTAGGTATACATTTTTACATATACAATATACTCTGTGTTGTATATGCGTCCGTCCTGGGTTTCCACATGCTCCAGCTGTCCTTTGAGACCTCACCCGACATTGAAACACGCGTTAATTGAGGTGTTATCGAAGGCCCTGCCTCGCCTCTCCCCTGGGTCGCCATGTGCTCCTTTCTTTCCTGTCCTTTGAGACCTCCCCTGACATGTCTAACGTGTTAATTGCAGTGTTATGGAGTGCTCTGCCTTTCCTCTGTCCCAGGTTACCATGTTCTCTGCTTGTCCCCTAACATGTCTAACACGGTGGTTTATTTATTTTATTTTTTTTGTTTTGTGGTGGTGTTTTTGCCTCTTTCAGGAGCCTGAACGTCTCGTGGGAGATCACCATGACAGATAAACACGGGAGAGAAACCACTCTCGAACAGTCCCACGCCTACTTCTCCGACTCTGGGGTTACACTCTGTTGGACCAAAGGCAGCTTCCCCTACTTGTACAAGATCTCCTCACTGCAGCTGCATGGTGTGCGCCGGATGCCTCTGATTGTCTCTGGCGTGAACAGGTACGTCAGAGTGCCGTGACTGAGAGGGATAGTTGCTTAACCAGTTTCCCTCAAGTACCATCAGCGGACAAGCTTTGTGTCTGATATGAGTGACCTGCTAGAGCAATATACCAGAATTATTACCACCCCATCATTTTCTACTATAAAAATTTGCGACGGGTATTGATTTTTGGCTTTACTTTGACATCTGGTTTTGCCTGCAGAGGGACTTGAGTTTAACCATTTTGTAGGGTTGTAATTTTGCCTTGAACTTGAAGTTTTGAATTAACCAAAAATCTCAACTCCATCAACCAGAAGTTACAGCTTTCTAGAGTCAATAAAATTGCTACATTTCACTTGAATTGAGTTTCCATATGGTTGACCTTTTTGCCTTTCTTGTATTTTGCTTAGACTGAAACATAAGAAATTGTTCCCTACATTGTATTCTCCAAACAGATTTTTCACTGGTAGATCTATAATGGGTTGTGTTGAATTGCATGGCTCCATAAGGACTGATGTACCTCTTCATATAACCCTGGATATCTGGCCATCTTGTGGGAGGGAGGACAAAAAACAAGTATCTGATGTGGGTTAGTTTACAGAGGACAATGTTGTTGAGCAAATACATCCAGTCCCTTATATACCAGGCCAAGCACATGCCTGTTCACACGCTCATAGTTGCCAAGAGGATGGGTTGGGGACCTAGATTAATAGTATATAGACTGGAAAATCATGTGTGTGCATCAGATATTTAACTCTGAAGAGGGTTTCTATAGACTAACTCCTCTGTGCCAGGACAAGGCTCTGTCTGACATTTATCAGTGTCACAGACCATACCACCCACCATGCGCCGGGGCAGTATTTTCCACAGATGGCCAGGTTTTCTCACTTTGTGTCTGCTGCTGCAGAATAAATTCATTGCATTTCAAAGTAATGTATCTGTGTATGAAGCTGCCTGACATTCTGCTGCAGATGAGCACATGGTGCTGCAGTAATAATAAACCTGCTGTCAGTGAGTCCATGAACGGGCTCGACTTGCTCTGCCTGTCTGCCCAGACCCGGCTGGCGCTCCCTCATCTTTAAGCTGGATGGAGACACGATCCGGAGGACTGGCCAGTACTTCGGTTCCGACCAACTGGTCAAGCTGCTTCACCTGCAGCCGGGACTCGTTATCGCAGTATGGAGGGTACGGCGGGATAAGATGATGCGGGGAATGGGCACGAGGTGCTTTATTAATGACCGATACGACCCAGAAGTGCAGGCCAAAATTACAGTTCCATTCATTTGGAAATCAATTGGGATATTCCTGAAAGCTTCTGCCTGTGCAGTGCTTGCCTTTAACTCCAGGGGTCTCATTTATCAAAATGTTTGTAGAATGCTTCCTAAATGCGTGCATACAAATTGCCGCTATACACAGGCGAATTGGTACTTTCCTGTTGTACGTACAAACCGTCATACGATGAGAACACTAAGTGTTGCGCATTCTAAATGTAACTGCGCGTGCATGGCAAGGCTGATCTACACAAACACCCTCAATGAATCATAAATGGCCATATAACTTCCACACAATGCGTCAAATCGCACAATAGGAGAACATGTTGCAGAAACTGAAACCATCGAAGAGACGTACAGGCAGTGTCCAGGTTATGAACGAGATCCGTTCCCTTAGTCTGTCTCTTCGTTGAATTTGTAGGAAAGTCAGAAAAATAATAGTAAACAATAATAATTATACCATAATTATAAAAGTACCTACATATGGGACTGTACTGTGCCTCGGAAAAACGAACCACCGAAGCCGTAAAATGTTTTCGCTAGTATCACAAAGTAGCGCGTGTGTTCGTTATTATGAACCATTGTATTTAACCCAATTTTTTTTTATGTCTTTATAAAGGCTTTATGGCAGTACGTTCGTAAGTACGAGTTGTCTGTTCGTCGGACATTCTCAGCCTGGGGTTTGGCTGTATATCCTTATTACTGTTTGTAATATTTTTTGCACTATACAGTTGTTTTATTTTGTAACTGTGTTTTGCAAATAAGAAAAAGTAAAAAAAAAAACAAGAAAGAAAAATGTGCCGGGAGGGTGAAAAAACAGAACTTCACCGAGAATTCAGTGGAAGTTTTGCTAGACGTAATAAAAAAAATAAAATAATAATAATAATTTAAAATGGGTATTGTTTGGCAACCTTACCAGTGGCCCGTCAAAGTGAATGACCCAGCATGGGGACAGGTGACACATGCAGTTAATGTTGTCACCTGTAATGAGAACAGCGGTAGAGGTGTCTGATCTGAAAATGGCCACCAAAAAAGGGTCGCAGCCCATAGATCCAGTGTCCGTGCCACAGGGGTGGCCCTGGCACCACGTCAGTGTCACCTCTGGGTGGTAAAATAGGTGCCATCATAGGGGGAGTCATTCCAGGTGGTGGCACTGACTGTGCTGCTCCCTCACCCATGGAAGAGGCCACCAGGAATAGGTACGAGATTTTTCTGGTTATGTTTAGCTGGTTGCAGCAAGTAATTAGTGCGTCGTACACTGCAGTAGTGGAACAAGTGAATGTTGCGGAAAATTAATTGTGCCAGACATGTCAGTTGTCTTGTAAAGCATGTATTTAGTGACTGATATATTATTTTTGGACATGTACTTTATATGCTTCTGGAACTATTTCTTGTCATTAGCATGACCTGACTGCACGTGCTTTGCGCAAACAAAAATAGATTTGTCTATCAAGGCTGATATTTAAGTGTGAGTCTGTGCATATCCTGTGCCAGTCTGTTTGCTTAAGTTACGCTTCTCTACCACTAGGGGTTAGTGCTTATGTATGGTCTGGATCATTTGTAAATAAACACACATTGGAATGCACAGGAAGAAATACATATGATAAATACAATATATATGTAAAAATCTCACATTTTCATGCACAAACCCTTCATACGCACAGTTGATAAATGAGACCCCAGATTTTGGTGTAATTAGGACCAGGGTTGTACAAACTTCAGAATTTAAGAATTGTGGCCCATTCCATCCATAAATTGGAATTTTGAATTGAATTGGCCACATTCCACAAGATGTTGAATTGGAATGACAAGAGGAATTTAATTTCAAGCACTGTATGAAGTGCTCTTTCACCATAGAGAGCACAACAATTAAATAAATTTTTTATTATAACATATTTTTAAAGGTGACACTTAAAATGTTACATTCTGTAATTCCAAACAATGACATTATATTACTGCGATACAGTATATGCTGTGTATGCTTATATGCAATTCATATTGAAATGTTAAGCTATATTGGTACAGCTGCACCTACACTCTATATGAATTTGTGTGAATTCAGTTCTATTTTAATTGTGCTTTGTCTTGTATTCAAATTGCCAAAAAACTGGCATAAAAGGCTGGCTCCATGTTTCGTTTAATGAAGACTTTGTGTATCTTTTAGAGCCATTGGTCCATAGTATTCATCATGGTGAACCTCCACTTCCACAGGCTGGTAGAGAGAAGTCTGCTGGGGACGTCAATATGGTGGGCTTACACTGTCACCCTTTATTACTACCAGCAGAGGGCAGTGTGCTGACCTAAACACACAAACACTAAACAGTCTGTATGTATCTGCGTGTCCTCATTTTCTGGAAATATTTTATCATTAAAATGGATGTGCCTATTGATGATATTTACAGCAAGTGCAGTCACATTCTGAGAGCAAAACATAGTATCTGTTATTGTTAAATCATCCTGTCCTTCAGTTACTGCATTTGTACTTACGTTTGCATTAGCGTGTTTGTAGAAAGATACATCTTAATGTATTTTCTAAATCCTGCTTTGGTGCACGTTGTTTCTTTGCGGGTGCGGGGTGTACAGTATGTGACATACAGATTTACATATCAATCCACACAAATATGTAATATATCATATATAGTATGGGTGTGCCCTTTGTGAAATTGTTCAGAAATCATTAAACTAATGGATGTTTGTGTGCCGATATGCCTCTGTTTCTTTATCTGTCTCTGAATGCTTTTCATTCTGATTTAAGCCCCTATGTGGCACCAGATGACAGACTGCCCTTTGATGATGTGGACCCCGAATATGGTCTCCATGGATACTCTCTGCACATATCTCTTCACAACACGATGAAAATCATCATGTCGGGGCATTTCCCTCAGCTCTCCTGCAGGAAAGGTAAATGAAGAGGAAGCCGATTGGGTGCCTGGTCTTTCCGTGACTCTTATATTAAGTGTGTGACATCCAGTAGTCCAGAGCATGAATTTCGCAGCCGCTGTATTAGTGAGTTTATGGTATACTGGAGGAAATTGGGTGTGTTCTGAAAAGGCTGTCATAACTGAAAAATGGTAATGAAATGAAGGTTTTCAAAATGTAATCAAACTGAAATGCCTAAATTAATCGCTGCTCTTATTCAGTTAAGTGATTCAGCACCTGTGAGGGTAATGCCAAAATGCCAAGTCAAGTTTAAGAATCATTACTTATTAAATGTATTGTTGAGGAAAAATTTTATAATTCAGCTGTAAAAGAGGTATATTTTATATAGAGCAGATCCTTTCTGATTCTTCTTGGATTTGTGAAACGAAAAGCGTGACGTTAAATTTAGGCCATTGGGCCATTGTAGTTGGCTTAACCTGATTTGCTCTTTTCAGGTAACAGCTTCTAGTAGATTTCAGTTTCTGCAATTAGGCCCATTCTTCGTGCATTGTATTTTAATGACGATCTTTGCCTTAAATTAACACAATACATCAAAACAAATTATGAAGTATTCTCATTATGGCTTGTTAGCCCCTGTTCGCTTACAGGGCACTATGATCCATTTCTGTACTGGACCATACTCTAGAACAGAGAGCCTGTGTTAATTTACCTGTCCTTCTGAGTGGTTTGGTTGTACAGGGCCAGAGAAATGACCATAGCCTAGAATGAGAAGGCAGCAAGATTAAGGTTTCCTCTCAGTATAGATGGATTTGCTCACCGTACATTTGTTCTGGAGAGGCTGATTAGTAGGGCTGAGCGATTTAGGGAAAATATTTAATTGCGATTTTTCTGTCAGATATTGCAATTCCGATTTGAATTGCTATATCATTCTTAAAAGTAAAGCTTCGGTTCAGTATTCAGTGTGTAATAGATTTAGAACATATGATGTAGCATATGATGTTTGAGAACATCAAAATATAAACTGGTCTATATTCTAGTCCAAGGATGAGAACTTGGACAGGTGAATTGCTCCTAACATGTATTTGTTTTCTGCTAATTTAAAAAAAAAAAATACAAAATAAAAAATTCAAACCAAACACATCACATAAGCTGTGACTGTGTTTAACCTAAGTACAGTAATAATATTAAAACAATTCCTGAAAGGGAAAAAAAAACAATACGGATCAGACAGCTAACATTGCATGCACCACTAATAATTATGAAGTGATTATGATGACAGAATTCCGTGGTTGTGTAAAACAGATTTTCATGCTAGTAATTTAGTATTGTACCCCCGTGTAGAGATTTGTGCTTGTATTTTAGTTTTATACACCCGTGCAGCAAAGTCCGTCTTTACAAAAAAGTTTTGCATACTTTTATTTTCAAAGTCACAGATTTGCAACTTCATATTTGCTCATATTTTCAGAAGTAATGTTACAACTATGAACCTGGATTATGAAATTAAAATAAGTGTGAAAATCTCAGCATGGGTGTGCTAAATTCCATAAATAATAGAACCTTTCTGTAAACAATCTGACCATGACATATGTAGGTAGTTTGCTTATAGCTCAACAGTGGAATCAATATATATATTTTTTGCACCGCAAATGTAATATTTTCCTGGGGTTTCACGTGTTTGTTTGTGGGCATATACACAGTCGCCTTGGCTCACTTCTAATTGGTGAGCATAACTGTCACACAAGGAGAACAGCATTAATTTGTAAAAATATTCTCACAAGAGCATTAAATCCTGGGTGAGTAATGCTATATAAAGCATTTGCTAAATTGCATTGTTTGAAATCATAATTTTGATTTGAAATTGATAAATTGTTTAGCCCTAATGATTAGACTTTGATTCAGTGCTGCAGATTTGGGAATCGCTGAGAAGTATATATGGCCTCAGGATCATAGCTATTGATATTAAGCAACAAATTTCTATTTGGAAAAACTCTGAACAGCAGTGGCCAACTTTTCTCGATCTTTCACATCCAGATGAGTTACCCCTTGTCTCACCTGCTGGGCAATTGCCCGGCAACATTGCTCCAAAAGTTGCCCTGTACACCATTGCTAGGCTGATTTTACACATTTTTTTTCAGTTCCTATCCAGTTCTGATACACTGCTGATACTGATGCATATTCCGGTGCAAGAGCTCTTTTTACGCTAATATTTTAATATAATAAACATGAACAGCTCAGGACAAAATTAAGAGACCACTCTAGTTCATAAAAAAATCTGCATTTAATCCCGGTTTAATCCGGGTTCTGCTGGCAGAAGGCTACGCTGAACAGCAGGTTGCTTCCAGGTTCAAAATTTTTAATACTACAGTACCCAAGAATAAGGTGAAGCAGGAGACACTGGGAACGACCAGAAACCAGCCAGGTAGAGGGCAGGAGCGTCTTTATAATGCCAGAGATGACGGTCAACTTATCCTACATTGCCTCATGAATTGGAGCATGACATCAGGTGACCTTCAAAAAGACTGGGAAACCTTAAGTGGTACGAAGTGCACTGCTAGGACAGTTCAGGCTCCTAGAAGCAGGACTGAAGTCCATAAAGCAAGGTAAGAAGCCCTTCAGACCCAGGTTGGAATTTACAAAAAATGTATATTTTATGCAGAAGCATACCCATAAATTGAGAAATGAAACAAAATGTTGCTGTGGTCTCTTAATTTTTCCAGAGGTGTATAATTATATAAATATTTATACTTTTGGTTTTTTTTTTTTTTGAACTAGTAAATACAAATGAAAATATATGCCAAAAAATCTTTGATTAGGCTACTAGAAACATGCATAACGTACTGTTCCACCTCATTTGAACATCTTGTATTAAGTGTTTGAGTTATTTGCAGTTCAATTTGAATCTTCCAAGCAAAGATACACAAGTGGCGACTGCATAAAAAATGCCCCACAGTGTTTCTCCTACAGGGAACAGTGTGACTTAAACTTCGTTGCAATAGCAGCCTCTTGTCTATCACAAGCAGTAGCAAGTGTGCAGAACAGCCCAAGCTAGCAACTCCCAAATCATTGGTTTTTCGTATTGCTCATGTTGTCTCGCACAGTTGCGTGTGCTTTTAGTGGGATTTTCTGCTTTTTACTTCCACCTCTTAAAACTTTTTTTTTTTTTTTTTTTTTACGAAGACTGCAAATCACTGTGCTACTTGTTCTTGTTTCAAGCAAAAAATACTTAGTTTGCAGGCATGTTTGTTAGTTTGCTTTGCAAGCATGCAAGTTGCATTTGCTATCCTCAGCCTCTTATGTGATGTTCTTGTACTCCTCTGACTGCAAAGGGTATGCACATGACCTCACAGCAGGTAGAAGTCATTTCGCTTACACCCAAAAATACTGAGTGGCAGCATTAGCGTTCAGTTGGAATGCCACAAAAACACAAGAAGTAGGTGCCACGTAACTGCAAGTCGATTTAACAATAAATAGGAGCTAAACTAAATAAATATCTGACATGAATCGGTCACACATGGCTGATACTTGATCCATCTAATAGGTATGGATCTGTGTACCTCTAATCATTACCTTTAGACCTGTTTGCTCTATGTTAGTGACATCTGGATTATGAAATATGGTGTGTGAAAGTCTTGTAAAGCATGCTTGATTTTGTAAGTTCAATGTATAAAATAGCCGGTAATGTAACAGTAGATGGCGCCAAATCGCTTAGAGCAGCGTTCGCCAACTGGTTATGACACTTTCTACACACACCCCCCCCCCCCCCCAAATTTGGCAAAAGAGACCATACCAAATCCCTGGATTATTTTCTGCGTAAAAGTAGCTTACACTGTTGAGAAGGTTGGTGACCGCTGTTGCCCAGTGTGCTTACTTGGTGGGGAGGGGGGCACAGCCGAGCCAGCAGAGGTCTCTGCCCCAGCGCTGTTTGCTCAGGTGTGGGTGCAGTGTTACGCAGACCCCCTCACCGATCAGCACGATGCAGGGGCAGCACTGCACTGACCTTTGCATTTCACAAACTCCCTGCCCCAGACCAGATCCGAAACGGCTTCATAAAGCTGACGGCTATCAGCAGGAAGAATCTATCCCAGCAATCTGCCCTCTCCGGGAAATTCATCCTGCCATGGAAGTCTGACTTTCTGAGTGGCAGTATCGAGGTAATCCTCTTTGCCAAGGGTGGGCAGTCTTACTCTGAAAGGGCCGTTGTGTATGTGGGTTTTAACTGCAACTCTCTAATTGGATTACTAATTAGAGGACTGATTGGCTGAATAGTCCTCACACCTGGGTTTGAACAGGTGACCTAAAGGTTACCCCAAAAATCCACATATACACTGGCCCTCTGTGGATAGGATTGGTCACCCCTGCTCTATGCAAACCCACTGGTACTCTCATTCTCCTCCCTTTCTGAAACGGAAAAAATATATATTTTTTAAAATGTATCTGAATGCAAGACAGTGACACATCATCTCTTCACGAGATGCAACATAGCAGCACGTTTAACACAGAGAAATGTGTTTCTGTAATATGATTCATATATGTATACTGTATGTTTTCGCTTACGGTGTTTTTCTCTTGCGTTTAATTGGTAGAACTGCTGCATGATGAATTTGACTGTTCTTGATGAGGCCCAGCATCCCTTCTGGTGCGTCAGTGTACCTGTGACCATGACCCTGTCTGACAAGGGCTCTGTGTCCTATGACTTGGATGGAGAGAACTTCTACATCAAACACCAGGAAATGGACGGCAAGGTCATGCTGGACCTGGTGTGGATGAGGGAGCACTCACAATTCTTCCTTGTGCACCTTGTGGTCTATATCTCCACCTCCAAAGTGAATGAACATTTTGGGCGAGAGTATTGAGGCAGTCGCGTCTGAAACATGGTTTACTGCTTTGTTCTTTGAGGAACCAAACAGTCTTACAAAATGTTTGCATTCAGATAACTGCTGACACATCCTTGTTTTTTTTTTTAATACTTAATGTTATATTCCTAAGCTTCCAGTGTTTAATGCAACAGATAAGTTGAAAGAGGCAGTGAGGTTTGATGTTGCTATTACAATGGCGACTGTATTAGTTTTACTTTTGTTAGTTAAAACATTCTTGTTTGAAAGAAGTCATTGTGATGTTTGTTGATTTGTCAAAATTTCAGAATTTGGGGTTGGGTTGAAATTTGTTCTAAAATAAATCCACTCCAGAATGCATAATACTCTGTCATTCATATTGTGGGTGTTTGAATGATCGCCTTCACATTTAGATGTTACAGTTGAATTATTCAATATATCAGAACCAAATGTGTGATAACATCCTTATAAAAGAATGTAATTGACTGACATGAATCTTGCATAGTATTCTACATTTTTCGCAATCAGTCTATTTGCACTCATCAAAAGCATTCATATTAAATCTGTGTGTTTCCTCTTCTGCTGCTTTTATGAAACCGTACAATCTTCCTGATGCTCACTTTTATTGTGTGTATGTTAGGGATGTACTAATCTGACTTTTTCAGTTCCGATACTAATACCTAGGTTTTGGGTATCGGTCGATCCCGAGTATCAATCCGAAACCAGTGTTTAATAAGTTGTATGTCTCACTGTGGGGAGGAGACTGAACTTGTTCTATTATGTTTAGGGAAATGTCAGGCCTACATACTTGTAAGATAATGTAGCAAATACAAAGACATGTATACGCTGAATTATTGTTTTTCATTTATTTTTATTTTTTACTTATTAAAATAATAAATTATTGTGTTCCAGCAACTTGGTAAAAACATCTTCAGAATTAACCAGAATTACAATTCCAATGTTATAAAAAGTGTATACCTTTTAGGTGCAGCAACAAATTTGTCAGGAATTAAAATTTCAGTATAAAACAATACAAGTGTATTAAATGTAAGATGTAAGCATGAATGTAAGATGTCGAACATCAACAAGATGTAAACATAAAAATCACATCACAAACTAATGCAAATAAACTTTAATCCAAGTACACACAATTTGTATAAAGACCATTCAAAATACACAGGAATTAAGTGCAAATTGGAAGTTAAATTCCAGTATAATATAGTAGCTGATACCGAGAAATCTTCAATGGCAGATTCTCATAAAGACAAGCATTTCTGCTCTCTCTGCTGTTTATCTGTTTCTCTTTCCAACCATAATGCTGGAGACTACTAAACATCTGTTTTCTAAATAATCTTTGACCAACTATGTAAAAATTTGAGAATTGTATTTCATCGAGAATTATACAGTATTTTATTCCACATTATTTTTCCTATATATTATATTTTTCTGAAAAATACTGGTTACACCAATTGACACAAACCAGTTGCACCACCTGAGCATGTTGCTTCTACAGTCAAAGGCCATTGCTTGTTGAAGAAATTGACACTTAAAATCAAGCATGTTGGTGAACAAGATCAGCGAAACTTAGTGTTCTATGTAGATGTATAAAACACTCTAGCAAATAGAATCATGAGTTAGTTTTTTGTAATCAGTTAAGAAAAAAAATATAGCAGCAGCGAATCATAGTAAAACGTCTGTCCATGTTTCTGTCCCCACAGCACAGGCCCCTTTCTGCTGCCCCCCTTCACCCCACAGCACAGGCCCCTTCCTGCTGTCCCCCTTCACCCCACAGCACCGGCCCCTTCCTGCTGCCCCCCTTCACCCCACAGCACAGGCCCCTTTCTGCTGTCCCCCTTCACCCCACAGCACAGGCCCCTTCCTGCTGCCCCCCTTCACCCCACAGCACAGGCCTCCTCTTACGGTCCCCCTTTACATATATAGTTAATGACAGATAATGGTAATGCTAATGGCTAATACTCTCCCTGTTGTCCAGCTGATTTTTTGTTTCTACACCTGCCATTTAAAAAGCTGTATCACAGGGTGTTACCTATCTGAAATGGGAAGACCCACTTGCCCTGTATTTTTGTAATCCTTTTCTGTCTTTTTTCCTTTTACTCATTTGTGTATTAGTGTAATATTTCTCTTTTGCTCTCGGCTCTCTGTGGGGTTGGTTTTTCTCTCTATCTTTGTGTGTATTTCCTCCAGACACTCCGCTCCATGAAGCTATGAACTTGCCTTTAAGTCATTCCCAGTGTGATGCTGCTTACATTACTGCCCTGTGATGGATTATGGGAAAAGGTAAGGAGGCACCATACTGTAAATTACGTGCTTGGCAGACTTGCCACTAGATGGCAACATTTTTATGAAAATTACAACCCACTGTGCCGCTGTATGATTAGCCGTTAAAACCTAGCTTGTAGCAATACATTGACTTTATATGCTAACTGCAATGATTTACTGGCTTCCTTTTAGCAGAGCTCTGGCGTTGAGCAATCAGGCCCCGTCTGCCAGCCTACAGCAGTGTGCCTGGCATATACCCACGTGCTGGCATGAACTGCTATTTACACCCTGGTGTGTGCATCAGACCTTGGATCATGATCAGTCTCCCTCTGTCACACTCCTCCATCTTTTACTATAACACACACAATAGCATTAATTATTCATGCCCTCAATAAAACAAAAACTTTTCTGTGGGGTGCTACTCAAGTTCCATATAAATCCATTGGTGAATAATTTTCTGTTTTTCCCAATACTAGTGTTTTGTGGGTTTAGTTTATTATTATTTTTTAATTTCCATCTGGATTAAATTATCATAAATCACTGTTAAGCTCTTTGTTACAAGCTTGGATGAAAAAATATGGTACACGAAAAGAAAAATTATTGTTTGACTGAACTGAAAATTATTTGAGAGAGTTTGGCAAAATGTTTCTGGCAGATGAAGAGCAAGGTCCTGAGGCACTGGATTTTAAATCATTTTGGGTTACTCTGCATTATATTATTTCATTAAATATTAGCACATGACTGAAATTAACATATCTTCCCTTTAAAGTCTGACAGCCTGTGTGCTATTCAAACATACTAATTGAACATCCATTTTCTTAGGGAGTACAGCAATAGTTTTAAGATCCTGTTGGATCAGGTGTTAATTCTCATGAAATTAACAAAAAGGAAAATAAGAATATAAAGGGTAAATCCAAGTCTTTTCTTATGTATGTTCTTGGATTAGCTTATTGTTTTTGGCTACAGTAACCAGTGACAACTGTCAATACAGTAATAAGCGGGCAGTGATTCAGGACACGTCATTCTGACCTAAAGTTTGACGACCTGCGTCTCACGAGAGACCCTGACGTAGATCCCCACAGCAAGGTACACAGCCAGTAAAGTGACTAGCTGAATGAAAGAGTAAAAAACATGAAACTACTGAATGTAAGTTTAGCTGCTGATGTAGGGGACTTACTGCTCACTTTTGTGTCTGAAAATGTGTGTATTGATGTCTGAAGTAGTGTAACTCTTACTGTTAAATTCTGTACCCAGATCAGCTGTCTGAAGCAAGGGAAACAGCTTTTTCTTTCTTATTCACTGTCTATTGCTTGAATGAAAATATTGTCCATATTCAAATTCTCTGTGACCCTAAGGTAACTAAGGTCAGCACTGGCCACAGCCCTGGTTTTACTCAGTCAAAATTACAGTGCTTTGCAACAGTGCATCAAAATATCCTGCTTACCTTGATCACTGCTTGCAAGGGCTCGACCCCTGAGGGGTAGTTTGGAACAAACTTATACTATGTACTGAGTCTAAGAAAGCAGTACAGAGCCATCGCATCACTGGGTGTTTGGGCATCCAGTGTGTGTTTAACAGCAGCGTGTGTTTCATCAGGCCGCAGAGCAGCGGGAAAGACAACAAGCACAGATTAGACTCCCTGTACCGATGTTTTTCGGGCTTGAGTTTCAGTCCAATTTTGTCCGTGCCGTATAGCACACCTCTCTGGTAATATTTGTGGTCCTTGTATGATGTACGATGACATTATCATGGAAATACGGTGCAGCTGGGAGAGCTGGAGTCCATAAGGGACCCCTGAGCATTGATATGGGCCTTTCTGGGTGATAAATGTTGTGAAGAACTTTTCTTGTGAAATGTATCCCGATGGTGCCCATTTGAAGGCGGAGGGGGGAGAAGCCAGAGCGTTTGCAGGTGGTCCACATGTGGCACACAGTTCCTTTGGGTCCCCTCTGTATTTCAGTGGAAGTAAGATGAACTGGCATCTCTGAATTACCCATAGTGTCTATTTGTGTGTGAGTGAGTGTGTGCCCTGCGATATACTGGTATCTTGCCCAGGGTATTCCCCCGTCTGGGATAGGGTTCACTTCCTCCTCCACCCCCTACGATCATTTACTGGGAAATCGGTCAGAAGACAAGACCGTGACCCTCCCCAGGAATAATGGTCTGAATAAGAACTCACACCATAAAAAGGCCTTATCGTAATTTTAGTGCCATAGACACTGGCACACAGGGCTGGGCGATCTTATCTTGATATGCTTTAGCTGAACGGCGATATACGATATATATCTCAATATTTCCCCAATGTCCCCAATGTCACACATGCACTTTTATTAACAGACAGCTATACATGTGCATGAAAAAAATGGCTCGAAAATAAGCTACTGGTATATATTATTTTACCAACCAGCTCTTCTTCATTAGCTTGCCTCGTGTCTGTGTCTGTCTCTATGCTGTCACTGCATGCAGGACTTGTGAGTGAGGGGGAGGGGCGGAGTAAGATGCAGCTGTGCGAGAGACAGGCAGGGAGAGGAGAAATAGGCAAACTGGCGGCTCTACGAGTTTCATTTTAAAGCAACATAAACTGTATCAATACAAACGATATTGTCTCAACCTGTATCTCGTATGAAAATATACTGCTACATCTTAAAAACTCGATATATCGCCCAGCCCTATTGGCACACAAACCGCTCCTCTAAGCATACCTTTACTGGACACTGAGTAGCTTGTGGGTCAGTGGGCCTGTGATCAGAAGGTTGCCAGCTGAAGCCTGGCCTCACCACATCTGTGGGTCCTTCAGTAAGTCCCTTAACCCCCAGCTCCCTGGGCGCTGCTATGGGCAGCTGCCCTTCGTGGCCAAGCCTCCTCTGACCTACAGAGAGCAAGTTGGGGGAGGTGAAAAGAGAACTTCCCCATGGAGGTCAATAAAGTATAAACGCGCCCACATATGCTGTTGCGCATCAAGCAAGCTGGGGCACAGCGCAGGTAAATGGAGCGTGATTCTCATGCTGGAGGGCAGATGCCAGGTCTTAGTGACACAGATGTCTGTAGATGCAGTGCTGGTTAGTCATGCAACCTTGGCAGTT